CAGCCTGTTTTTGAGATACAGAAAAGAAGAAAAACAATCAAAGCAATGGTCTGAATTTACCTGATTAATAAATGAAAATTACGAGAAAGGGAATCGGATCTTAATTTTTAATTACTAGCATCATTTTATAACAGAGCAAAATAGAAGAATGACCAAATTATATCATGGCTGGTTTTCAGGTTAAAGTGGAACTTTGAGCGGCATCCTCTCTGTTCTTTGTATTACATTTTCGTAGGTTCCAGTCTGGCAAAATATGCAACAAATAAAGGGGATGCATTGTACAGTCACTTTGCTATGGACAGTCTATCCGCCATTCGAAATCAAGTTGTTGATTTTTATCTTTAATATATAAATATATGGATATTCTCCAATAGCCTAAAAAACTAAATTGACAAGTGTTTTCTAAAATCCCACTGAAATGCAGGCAAGTATTTTGATGGGGGAGAAAAGGGAGCAGTAATCTCTGCTCTTGTATACATGTTTTGTTTTAAGTATCATCTTTTTTGTGTCTAGCTATGTTCTCCAGTTTGTAAGTTTTTATACTTTATTTCACAGAATAAAAATGGTATGAAAATAATTTTAATTTTTGTCAAGTCAGAACTGATTTATCATATTCCATTACTGCACATATGGTCAGACTTTTGACCTAAGGATTTCCAACACAGCAAAAAAAGAGTGATCTGTTGCACTGATCCTGGTAGCTAATTCTGTGCTGAAGCAGCAATAGCAATTGGTGCTGGAGAAGCAAACCTTGTGCATCTCAGGAGCAGTACACAATTGGATGTTTAATAATACCTGGGTTGCCCTTGAATACTTGTGCCCGTCTTAAACCTGTATTTCTGCAATTCATTTGGAAATTTAATTCTAACAATGGGCATGTGAAATACAGCTGCCCTACCATGTGGCAATAAGATAGATCAATAGAAAAGTATGCAGTACATTAGCAGGGTTCAGTTTACTTCTTAAATAAATGGAACTATTTCACTTCCCCACACCTCCGTCAAATCATTGCCACCTGCATAGGCTGAGGACAAACAACACGTAGTGCTCCATAAATTGTGAGCCAGCAATTTCCATGATCTTCGCCTTATCTATATTGGTCAGATGTATCTGGAATTGAAGTACATCATATGGAAGACCGTACGTGATCCATCCCCTTCTGGGTTGTTCAGAGATGTGATAAAGAGTGGAATTCCCAGTGGCCTACAAATTCACACCAGTAATACAGTAGCTCTGTTTTTAATTTCCTCCATGCCAGCTGGTAATTATGTCAGTTCTTCCTGCAGAGCTGAGAGAGCTTGCTGAGATGGCTCTATTGTTGAGATGACCAATTTTATCCCTCTGGTTGTCTAGGGTTTGTATCTTTGATTTTTTTTAATTATATTTATTCATGTGAAGTTTTATATTTGATATCTGTGTTTTACATAATTTTATTGTGTGCCACTTTTGGTGATGTAAATTTGATAAATAAATAGCTCTGAGAAAAGCTCATGTACAGACCAAGTAGCAGATAGAAGGCAAACCTTTTGCTGGTCCACTGTCTTATGCTTGTTAGAGACTTAAGATGTTAAAGCCATTGGTCCTAACAACAGGTTTAACACAATCTATCACCCAGCAGAAACCAACATGCCAGGATGGGCTGTTTGAGTATAGTATACTATTTACTAAGCAGAATCTCTGGCAAAATTGTTTAAAACCTGCACTTATAAACTAGGATCTGACTGTATGACAAGATTTGAAAATGTTTCCAAATGTTAATTTGAATTTAGCCGCATAGTTCCATGTGTCTTAAGTATGCAGAGAATTGCATCGCACATTAATTGTATTTGGTGGGATCAGGTTTTGTGGCAACCTCACTGTATCAAAGCAATATCTGTGAATGGAGACATGTTCCCTGAACCATCACAAAAATTCTTCAGGTGCCTTGTTTTTTATTTTGAGACCATCAGTTGCAAGAAGAATGGCTGGTTATATGATATATGCTCTTGGCATTGCTTAGAAAGGCCATAGTATCTTTTTAAAAAAACTTCCCAAATCAAGCACTTGTTCCACAACTTCTAGTCAGTAACTATATTGTTATCACCATATTTTATTTAAATGTTTAACTTTACACAACTATTAACAACCTTACAGTTATAAAGGGAGATAAATTTTGGCCCCCTCAGAGAAGGCCCGCAACTTGGGAGTCCTCCTGGATCCACGGCTGACATTGGAAGACCATCTGTCGGCCGTGACCAGGGGGGCGTTTTATCAGGTTCGCCTGATTCACCAGTTGCGACCTTTTCTGGACCGGGACGCCTTGCGCACAGTCACTCATGCTCTCGTCACCTCTCGCCTGGACTACTG